GGTGGCCTCATGGTTAATGCGCTCGTCTCCGGATCGAGCGGTCCGGGTTCGAGCCCTGGCCGGGGACATTGTGTTGTGTTCTTGGGCAAGGCACTTTGCTCTCACAGTGCCTCTCTCCACCCAGGTGTATAAATGGGTACCGGCGAACATAACGCTGGGGGTAACCCTGCAATGGACTAGCATCCCATCCAGGGGGGAGTAGAAATACTCCTAGTCGCTTCATGCTACAGAAACCGGGATAAGCTCCGGCCTGATGGGCCACTTGGCTCGCATGCAGACTTTATGCAGATCTTCTTAAGGTTAGTAGCACCATTAGATTGAAAGCCGTTGGAAACCCAAGACTCTCGTTAGCTCAGTCTTCTATTAGCACGTTGGCAGACTATGAAGTGTGCAATACTTGTTCACCACTCACTGAACCTAAGGAAGACGTAATCTTGGACTATCACGTTTTCAATAGCTTAAGGAATTTAATGATTCAACCATTCTGCCTGGCAGTGAAGGCTACATCATCTAATGACTGCGCTTATACACCTCGTACAGTTTATACTCATTGTTAATTATATTCACTGTGATATAACGGCTAGCTCGAAAGGTTCTGCCCCTTCCGCCACTACACAGTTCTTTCTTGTTCAATGAAATTTCGCATTTGTGTTCTGCTTTTCAGCTAAAATAGTTTTTTATTGTAGTAGAACAAAGTGCATTAAATGAATGGCTTGAACTTGGACATAATTCAGACAATACATTCACGCTTTCTCTCAGCAGATGGGTAAACTGACAAAGTTCGTTTTAGTGGGTTGGTTTGTGGCGTTTGGTTTGTGCTGTCTGAAAGATGTTCATCCGGGGAGATGTTCCTGCGTGTCTTTTGGCCACACCCGAATCATTGTAACGTGTACAGGAATTAAGCAAGTGCCACGTGATTTACCGTCCAATACAGCAATGCTGTAAGCGCATTAGAGACGAAATTACATTTATAAACCTTAAAACATACGGCAAACTGTAATATTTGATATTTTGCAGAACCCTCCACAGACGAGTCAAATTACGACAAATTAGTTAGATATCCCCAGTTGTATTTGTAGTCAATTGCTTGGGGAACTTATTTATCCACTAAAGTTGTTTGCCTCCACAACGCTCCCAAATATTGCCTGTTTTCTTAATCTTATATGGTCAAGTAAAGTAAAAATGAAACAATCAAAGCACAAATAATCACTTTCTTTCTTTTCGATAGTAGTAGAGGGGCACAGGGACTCGACGGCCGGGTGTAGGGAGTGGACCCCTGGGAATGACGTCCTCGAAATGATAACATCATAATCTAAAAATAAAATGGAGACATCATCGGGATTGAGGGGTGTTTTGGCGTTGATGACATCGTGTTTCTACCATAGGGTGAGGTAATTGCCCCTTTCGGAAGATGACATCATCGGGGAGTGAGGCTAACAAAACATAGGATAACGTCGAGAAGGGTTTTAGAGGATGACATCGTGAAATGGAACCCCTGTCTAATTTGGCCTAATTTTGAGTAGAATAGGTAGAAACTAATTCTAGCAGGGTAATTTCATAGATCTTCATAACAGAATAAAATATGCTTCGTTATTATTGCTTTATTTTTTCTCCTTGAGAAATACTAGTTATGTAGGCGGAATGAAACTCGTCAGGGTCTGAACCCTAAATTTGAACTGAGTGGTCGCTAAGCAGAATAGATAACGCCATTAATCAGACGATTTCAACTATCCTTGGTAGTCTCGAGATTACTATCGGTTTCAGCGCCTTGGGCCAAAATCTATATGAATCGTGGTTTCGTCTTACACGCCTCAGCCATTATAAGAATCTATGATTGCGAACAAATCGATTTCTATTTGGTCTATCAACTAAATAGACAGATCAAAACGACTCTGTTTGTTCAAAAACACAATAGGTTTTTCCATTGCTTCTTTGTTATTGCAAAAGAATCTCCCTGGGGTCATTAACGCGTAAAGTTATGCAACTAGATAAGATCGAGAAAACCGCGAACAAATAAATTTATTTTCAACAACGTTTATTGCAATCAACTGATCTCAGAGCTCTGACTTGTCAAGTGGTCATTATAAAATCCTGTGGTTTGTTCTGTCAATTCGGTCATGATGCGGTACACTGAACCATACTTTGTACTCAGAGCCTTCCTTCTAATGCTATTTACACTGGCTGCAAAGTCATTAGTCGTTTATATTTCAACGTAACTTCGAGATAGCATAGATAGTCTTACATCCTGTAGTAACCTAATCCATCTTCTAAGTGTTCTCTGACTGTTTTGGGAACCCGCTGTTCTCTAAATAGTCTGTTCAGGAGTCTGTTAAGTAGGAACTTTCGTTTAGTCCACGCTGGTTCCATAGCCTCTTTCCAGTCGAAAACTTCAGCGTCAGTAAATGGTCGTTCGTTTGTTTCTATTATTTCTCTGAAGATGCGGTCTTTATTGAAATCATGCATCCGTGTTAAATATTCTAATAAAACTTTCTTCAACTCTCTTCTGTATGCCGGCTGCATCTGGACTTTTCTAGGACAATCGGGACCATCGGGACAATGTCATCAACGCCCCCCACCCCAATGATGTCACTATGATGTCATCATTTCGATGACGTGAACGCTGTCGCTGTCGGTGCATGTTTAGCCTGAGCAAGCTTTTAGATCGATAGGCGTACTGAACTGATTTACACAGTTGTGATATTCGAAGGTAAAATATAAATTCATTTTTTACAAGGCGTCGTTCCCGCCGTCGTCGCCGTCATTGCTAAAACTCCCTACTGTATCGTCACGGTGGTATAATACATATAGTGATATATCTATGTCCCCCCCCCCCCCCCCCCCCCCCCCCCCCCCNTCAAGACAAAACTTATGTTGGCCACTCACATTTATGAGTCTTCTGAACTTTTCTGGTGTTGCTATGGTTCTGTTTCAGAAATCTCTCGGGAAATCATTTGAGGGCGATCGAAGAAGACGCCTTTCGAAATCTAACAACACTTGGGGCCATGTAAGTTGATTAGCTTAATGGAAACACAAGTTAACTAGCATATCGTGTTTTTGCAGTGAAAATAATAGCTCCAACTCGGTACAATTCACGAAAACCACGTCATTAAAACCTAGAGCCGTGACTTAATTACTAGCTGCTGTTCGGGAAAGATCAAACCAGACTCGAGAGATCGGCAGGAATCGAGCATGGACTAACTATGAAAGAAATAACTTAACATTAAATCATGAGGCATTGTTTTTAGTGAACCTTTTTATGTATAGTACATTCAGTGAGATTAAAATGGTCTGGCGAACGCAAACCTTGTTGGTGCGTTTTAAAATCTACCTCCCTGGCTTCTTTCTCCATAAGTCGTTTGGAACTAACGTCATCGCCGCCATGTTGGATGATCATTAACAAAAGAATTCAAAGAAGATTCATATTCTCTTACAGAACATAAAATGACGTCATGACATCAATATTTGAAAACGTAACCACAAACAAAGCACAAACGCCTATTTCAAACTACCCAATCAGCACTCGTCCTAGAAACAAAAAGATTCCATTTAAATTCAAACATTTAACTATAAATACTGTGTTTTCTTTTTAGAGATCTTTCAAGGAACAGCTTGAAGTCTATTCCACTAAACACTTTCCGGAATCTGAAGCTACTGAGATACATGCAAGTAGAGTTAATCTGATCTGCGTTACAGTCTCGAACGTCGAGAAATTGGCGCTTTTGTATTCACAGTCAGGTCAATTTCTTGCAGCTCATCCGGCAGGTCTATTTTCATGACCCGTACTGGATCATAACCCTACTAGCTATTTAGCACCTCATTAAAGTGTGCTAACAATCTCCAGGTTTTACTGTCTTCATTACTGAAGATCTTGCCATTTTTGTCCTTATCTCCAGAACTTTAACTTGCCTCTGTCTTTCAATACTCGTTACTCTGAGTATACGGTGTCTTCGTGTGTTGTTATCTAACTGCATTTTAGGTTTCTAGTTCGGCTATGATAGGTTCAGATGTTCTGAGTTTCCTTGAGCTGAAACATAGTTGTTCCATGTAATTAACATCGCAGAATTCTTAAAGACATAAAAGCAAGACTTTTATATTCCTACTTGTAGTAATCTTGCCGGCAACAACATCAAAGGTGGATTTTACCTCCCCGGAAATGCTTCAAGAGTGTAAGTTCTGTTGCTGTTTAACAAATAGATTCCATGTAAAATGACATCAAAATGTGTTAAGAACAAAAAAGTGGCACACGAGCAATTAATTTGACGTCTTCTGTGATCTATTACTGAATAGACATAAGGCAACTTGAAATCTGTTTTTTTTATATAAAATAACGAAAAACAATGGTAATGACGTCATCTATGTGTCTGTCCTTCAATAGATCATAAGTAAGAACCAATCTATAACATACAGTGATCAATCATAGCGTGCGTAGCCGTTCAGTTATTTGAAAAACTATAGAAACTCGAGCCGATAGGCGAGTGTTTCCTCAATTTTACAACTTCTCACAAACTTCCAAGGATTCACAAAGAACATGTTTTCCATTTCATTTAGAAAATTCTGCAACAGCAAAAAGAAAACCGTAAACTTTACTTTGATCATCAAAATATAAATTATTTTAGCTCGCACCTTCACTACGTCAACAGATTGCACTATTTTTGAGTTTCTATCGAGTTTACGTATAAATCTACCTGCGTTCTATCACGAATGCCGCTTTCCAATTGGCTACGCTACTTATTATCTATTTAACAAATAGATTCCATGTTGCCGTGCGTCTGTTCAGTAATAGATCACAGATGACGTCAAAATGTGGTAAGAACAAAAAAGTGGCACAC